GGATAAGTAAAACAGCTGTTAAATTGATTTGGACTGAGAATCAAGCCAAAATTGAATGCTTATGGAGTATGAGACCCTACTTCTTCAGCCATGCAGATGTCACCTGGCTGCCAGTGGCAGAGAGCCACCAGGAGTGACGCATGGGAGGCGGCAGGGTGAGAATGCGGGCAGGCTTGTATCAGGATGCCATGCGGAACAGCCTGGCGCAGGAAGCATCCGTTAAGGATGTGTTTGTACCCAACCAGCACACCAGTGTCCTAGTCCCCGTGTGGGGTTATTCATTACCACGAGGCCCTCCCTCGGGTGTCCTCACCAAGGCGCTGTGATTGCACAGGCACCGCAGACTGCAGCTTTTGCGAAGGCAGAGGGAAAACCTCTGGCCTCAGGGCACCTCGGGAGGTGACAGCAAATTTAATGTTCCAGCTGTATCAGAGAAGGCTTCCTCCAGTGCACAAGCTGCTGTGGAAATGTGTGCCTGGAGCACTGACCCGCAACATGTCAGCCCCATCTTGGGCCGTAGCTACACCTCTAATCCCTCCCTTGGCTTAAGTGCACCTGGCTCTAGGTCTAAAGACTTGTGTCACATTATTTGTTGACATAAGATACAAATGAACCTCTGCTCAGTTTGCCACCCAAACATGAATTCAAAACGACAGATAAGCACAGAAATTCTTGTTTACATCTCAAATACCTCAAAAAAAAAATTCTTTGCAACTAATATCCAGCCCATGCATGCAGTGTAGAATACTTCCATGATAGCGAGGAGATGCACCAACAAGCATTCCTAGTTTATTTTAAATGCTTTTTAATAACAGTATTTATAGTATGATTTTCTCTGCTTTTTTTTTTCTAACAGCTACACAAGAAAAAGTGTATTACTTACAGATATTCTAACTGGGGCTATACTAAATGAGAGAATCTTTTACACCTGAGATGCAAGCAAAATGTGGCTCATTAATAAAATACACCATAATGGCTCCATTTGGGTTGTTAACTTTTCTCTTAGCCCTTGCTTGAGAATTCTGTTCATGGATTATTAATGCCACTGAGTATTATAGTTCACATCGTATCAGGGCACACTACGAACAAAAATGCATAAAACATTGGCCTTGCTCTTCCAGTGCTGCTTTGGTCCATCACATGAGTAAAGAAGCTGCCCAAATGTACCAGTCTCAATAGTCTAAAAACATTCTGTACTATGGCAGGAAGCAGGAGGTGTCTCTGCAGTTTGGGCTTGTGTTAAAAATTAAATATGATGCAAGCAGAAAAAAAAAAAGATACAAACCATGATATGAAAGTCTGGGGAATCTGATCAGCTCTTAAACAGAGCACCATGTTCTCCACCTGTTAAAATGCAATCCTTCAAAACCTCTTAAAGTTGCCCTATTTATTTTTGAGTTAATTATGATGATTTTGACAGTGTATGTCCTGTTGAAGCTAGGTTTTTGGATGGGCTTAATTGGGCCAACCTGCTATATGAATTTGTGACAGACAACTATGATGATTTTGACAGTGTATGTCCTGGACAGCCATGTTGAAGCTAGATTTTTGGATGGGCTTAATTGGGCCAACGTGCTATATGAATTTGTGACAGACAATAGTGATGAGATTTCCAACCAGATCTCCAGGACTGAATGGTTTTGTGAACAAGTCTAAAAAATACTGCTTCTTCCCAGCTTGCAAGCTCAGAGGGTACTTATGGCTGGCCTAGAAAGAAAAGACTATACAGGAGCTGGCAAATCTTCACCCTGCAGTAACAGAATTACCTCCATCTTCTCACCCCTATCCCTTCTGAAACAGCAACTCTTGGTTCCCTTTAGCAAGCTGAAAAGTTTTTGGCAATTTAGCCATAGAATGAAGTTCAAATCCAGTTCACACTACTGTCTAAACTAGTAATTTTGTTCTAAATGAAATAAATTATCAAGAGACTATAACAAGTAGCTTTTTTGGTCTAATGACTCTAGCTGGTCATTATGACAATAACCAGTGTTTGCTGAGACCGTGAAGCGCCGAGACAACCTGCTACCTATTTTACAGCTCTGGCTTCTTTAGTTCTAAGATTCACAATGATTCTGATGAGAGAAGATCTGTTCCTTGCAAATCTCTTCTCTGGCTTCAGTAAGAAAGCAAAGAGAAGAGGAAACACGGTGAGCAGTCTCATAGAGCAGTAATTTCTCTCACAGAGTAGCAATTCAGCTACAAGCAAGGGTCAAGCCCAATTTGAATGGTTAAAAAAGAAAAGAAAAAAGATATGAACAAGAGGAAACATCTTGAAACTTTCTTGAAACACCCATTTTAAGTTTTATGTGTGGACGTGCATGTGCGTGTGCAGAAGTAGCCACTTCCCAAAATGGTCTACTTTGTCAAACAAGCAATAAGATGCTGCCACAAAGCCTGTCACTGCATTTCAGTGCCAGCTATTTTTTCTTGCCCTGGCTTATTAGACAAAAAACTGCACAATGGCTGGCACTTGTCTTAAACAGTATGTAAAATGTCATTCATGCATATCATAGCTAGAGGCTTTCTTCAGTATTTTCTTATGAGAGCAGATGAAAGGCCAAATTTAGCTATATTATAGAGATTGTGGCTTGCATTTTAGTGTGATTTATATCAAAAAATATACTTATGGTTGCATTGCAGCTTTCTGATTGACACTGTAATCATGTGTCAGACTTGCCCGTCAAACAGCATCACTCTGTGCTTTACTTAATGAAAGCATCTCTTCAAAACAGTGAGATTCCAAGCTGTGTGTTCCCATTGGACTTCTGCACTCCCGTGGGTCATCAGAACCCACTTCCCAGCTTTGCATCTTCTACTGAGCCTAGGGTTACACTGGGTCACTGGGAAAGGTCCTACCTACAGAATTACAAATAATAATCGACTTATAACAATTTTATTGATTTTTCAATAAAGCCGCTGGAAAAGGGATTCAAAGAGAGGTCAAGAAAATTATCTGAACTGAAAAAAGGTCATAATGAAGGCACTTGGTTTATCTCAGATAAGCCAAACCAGATGGTAACTGGTAACAAGTGCCCAAGTAATGAATAATACAGCGAATGTGTAACATGGAAGGCAGAAGAATGCTCAGCTCCTGAGCAGACTGCATGTCGCAAGCAAAGCAAATAAGTGCTTCTTGCACAACACGTGACTAGACGGTGGCCAGAGCCTCTTGCCACAGGAAGTCTGCAAGGCTACGAAAATAGGACATTTTTAGGCTACTTATAAGGCTACTTACGATTGTGATAATTAATGCTAGCATTTTGGCAGGGTATGTATTTAAATTTACTACTTGTAGACCCTTTCATTCCTACAGACCTGCATTATAATTCACAGCAGATTAATCTGCAATCTCCTTACTTCATAAGTAAGGACGTACTTTCCAGGCAGCAAACTGGTAAACTATGATCTTGGATTAAGCATCTCCTTGTTTCACCCAGTAGGGCAGGCCCATGCACTATATATTCCAAGCCTTTTCTTTAGAGAAGTTAAATCTCTACCAATCACTAAAAGAGATAGTTTCTATTTCAAATTCTTTACCACTTTTTGGTTTGAAATCAAATTCCAAGATGTTTATTGATTTTGAGAACCAGAAGTCAGTTCTATAAACCTCTCCTTTCTCCACAAAAGACAAACAAAATCTGCTCTATTTGACCCTATAAATTACATTGCTTTTTGCTTCAAAAAATACCAACGAACTTGCTGCCTTTGTCAGATGTCTGTCTGTCCTGTTTTTATAAGGATATTGAACCACGTTGATCCCCAATATTATTCTGAATGATTTTGAAAGGGTACCACTTTGAGCATTTTTACTTAAATAGCTTTTATAACTTATTAACTTAAATCAATTATAACTTTTATAACTTAAATATCATTCTTCAAAGGTCTAAACTTACCCATCCAGACTTCTCCAAACTGACCAGCTCCAAGTTTCTTCACTAATTTAATTGATTCCCGTGGAATTTCCCATGCATCTTTATCCCATGGCTTTTGAGGTTTAGGACTAATACAAGCCTTTTCTAGCTTTCTGCATAAGCCATCTGCTTGTTCTGTTTTTAAAAGGAAAAACAAAATACAAAATCCATTAAACTTCCCTGCCTCAGATGTCTTGAAACAAAGAACACACAATTGAAGACACGCAGCAACCAGCTCAAAATCTCTCTTTTTTTTTTTTAATTTCAAAATCTATTTTTATTTGTATTTATCAGGTGCTCTGATGGGCATGAAAAATTTCTATTGTTTTCACATTAAATTGTTCTGTCATGAAATTCAGTATTCAAAGCTCAAAGAGTGATTTAAGGGAAATGTGGCATGCATCTGAGGTAAAAAAGGTTCAAGCTACCATCAGATTATTATTATTTTTACTACTATTAGTACCAAATAAACAAAACACAAGATCTAATTTCTGACAGTATGTTGATGAAGATGCAACTTGGGGTCAGACTTGGACCCAATATTCTGAATTTGTTATTAACTTCTCTTTTAGCATGGTTTCAGATATGTTTGCACACACAATCATGCAAGCATAAGTAGGTCATGATTAATTTTTCAGTCACTGAACAGCTATAACTTAAATACAAATGTAAAATAAAAATCAGTTTTTCAAGCTGCACCAAAGAATTACCACAGATGTTACAATTCAAAGAAAGGTCATGGCTAAGTCCTCATTTTGGCTTTAAAAAAAAATCAAAAACCTGTCTTACTAACAAATGTTTTACAGTCTCCAAATTCTCAGTTACAAGATTAAAAAAAAAAAAAGTACATAGTGGTTCACCAGGAAGTCATATGTAATGAAAAGTCACTTTTGTAGCTAAGAAGTAGCTGGAAACTTATTCCTCCCTGCCCTGCCTCCCCTTTTTTTGTAATATTGGTACCACTCTATGTAAGCGCACTAACACTGCTTTCTTTGAAGTCAGTGGAATTTTACGTCCTCAAAAACTGCATTCACAAATATATATATATATAAATGTATATATATACAGGAAGATAAAAATGCTTCCACAACTATCAACAGATACAAGAAAACATTTACAATATTACACAAATAATAAACATTATCTATTATCACAGATACAAATTTACTATCAAATGCAGAATTCATTTATTTACAATGCAGTCCATTCTCTTTCTTCTCTAGTTTCACATCAACAACGCTTTGATGAGTTCTTTTATAAAGCTATTCTTTGTTTTACAGCAGTATACAACAGATCACTATCAGCCCTAACGCTGCTTGCTAACAAGGCTACTTTGGTTCTAACCAATTTCATTTCATCTTTGATAACACCCATGCCAGAGTTATTCAGAGAAAAAAAAAAAGGCACATAATGGCTGCATTCTATTAAGTAATTTACTAATTGATTTAACTTACTTTGATAATGTTTGATCATATCATTGATGTTGGGAAAAGTTATTCTTGGAGAGATATAAAAGCCTCCATTGTCTAGACTCCTAATTTTGTAGTGCTTAATAACATCGCCATTCTGCAGATCGTAGTCTCTTACAGACAGAGAATAGCTGCCTGTGAACAAAGAAGGAATGATCATTAACAGATTATAAGCCTGTAGTTTCCAAACACATACTGCTCCAGATAGCAGAAGTATCTTAAAAAAATTAAAAAATATAAAAAAACACAAAAAAACCCTTTATTTTATTTCTTACTCTGCTATTTCCTCAGAAAGGATTTTGCAATCAGCACAAGGAAGTTAGCTAACGGATGGTGCTGAACTGAGCCCCAAAATGCTGTAGATGAACTTTCTTTTCCAATCTTATTCAAAATGCTTATGAGCTCTATAAGCCAAACTCTTCTGTGACTGATGTCCCACTGCAGAGAGTTCCACTGATTGAGTGGGATCATATGGGAAAGCAACTCCAGGGTTATCTCACTAGTCTGATACAAGCTAAAATTCAAAGATAAGCCCAAGAGCAACACACGCAATGCCCCTGGCACCCTGCCAAAAGGTTACTTTGGAGGTGGCTTGGGGCATTCAAGAGGGAAAGAAGATCTGTTTGTACCAGGGACCCCAGCCGCAGCAGAGATTTAAGATGGGCAGCAGTATCTATCTTAAACTAAAGAGTTCTTCCCACCTATACAATTCTTGACAATTTTCTAAGGATATGAAACCATGTCAGCCCCTTCTTTCCCCCCACTCACAGATCCAGTGACAGAAGGGGATAGAAAGAAATATTTTGGCATTGTTTTGCCCTACTCCCAAGCAGGCTATGCTGAACTTTGGCCCATGGCTATGGAGAGCATAGAGCATATCATGGTGGAATCAAGGTACTGGAGGAGAACCCTCGTATATTCCATTGAAAGACTCAGTTGAAGAGTCTGATGCTTTTCGTAAATATTTCAGTACAAAGAGCAGCCTCTGCAGTAGAAATCCTTATCAGAAATTTAAACAAAAAAGAATCACCTACAATGCAGAAGTGTAAATTCTCATCATGTAGTAAACACACATTAAAACTTGGAACGACAGATATAGGCTACATAATGGAAGACTTTATAAAAAGCAGCACCTACTATTTACAGCTAACAAGGCTCTCTAGTACAGGAATCACAAGTGTTCAGCAACCTCTTCATTCATTGCTGCTCGGCAGTGTAATGGGCCCTATGTAATTCTCTCTTTCCCTGCTGATTTTCTCACCCTTCTCGCTTCTGTGTAATTGCAGTGAATTCAAACAACAGGACATACAGGGATAATTTCATATGCAGGCACTTGATGCAATTTCGTAAAGACAGTCTCAGGGTCCAAGGTAAAGAGTCTCAATCGCCTACCTTTTAACGTTTCACTTTCTCTGATGAGGAATGCCCCAGGACCATTCCCAGGAGCCAGGAGTTGTCTTTCAGCATCTTTTCGGGTTATGTCCTTGAAGAACCACCTGAAAAGTATTTCAGAGATTAAAATTTTTCTCCTCACCCTCAAAGGACACAACACTATAAAAAAGTCTTTCAGCATCTTTTCGGGTTATGTCTTTGAAGAACCACCTGAAAAGTATTTCAAAGATTAAAAATTTTCTCCTCATCCTCAAAGGGCACAACACTATAAAAAGGACAATTGCCAATGTTCAGAGGGTAGAAAAACCTACTCTTCAGTTTCCAAGGTATCTATTTTTGCTACATAGTTGCTGGGAATGTAGCCTTCTTTCCTTGTTGTGAGAGATTTTGCTTTCCACCATTCTCCTTGCCTGAAAAACAGAAACAGCAGTAATATTCCAACTGAGTGAAGGAAAACAATTAATTCTTATTCAGCAGCTGCTGTGCCAAGGGTTTTGTCTGGTCTGAGGAGGGAAAAAAACCATCTTTCTCTGAACTGAAACCCCTGTAGAAACTTCGGCTATTTTTGATCAATAACTAGGCACACCTTTGTGGTTTCACATACTATGGAGATGTTTCATAATGTTCCTATACTCATCTTCTGAGTACGGAAACCAAGAAATTATGAAGGAACTTAGACATGGCTAAAGAAAAAACTACAGTGCAATCAATATTGTCATACTTACTCCTCAATGACTTTCAATTTTTCTCCTTTTTTGAAGGACAAGTCATCTTCGTGGATTCCATCATAAGGATACAAAGCTACTACAATGACTCCATGCTCCTCTCTTTCTACAAAGACAGAAATCAAAAGGAATCTTCTCTTATTTCACTAGCTCATGTGGACCTAGTGCACATCAGTAAAACTCTTATTAAAGCATACCTTCAGGGATGAATCTCTGTCCTGGTAAAAGACATGGTTCTGGTATTTCCTACAACAAAATGCATCTTTAATTAAGCAGTTTTAGATCTTCGACATTTTATTTTAAGCATATGTAAGTTAAAATATGTTATTCTTCAATTGCTTTGAAATTATCTTATATATCTTAAATGTTAGTCTTTTCTGACCATTGCTTAAAGTGAATTATAATGCAAACAGACAGTAAGTCCCAACTAGACTTCAAACTGAACAGCTCGGACCTGAGGAAGGTATGAAAAAGGTATGGGGAAGTTCACAGCCTCATGGCTTTTGCCAAACAGGCTTTACACAACATAGTTCAACAGAACAGTTACCGTCCTGATGCTAGTATGAGGAGCTAAAGAACTGCAACTAACTGTCAGGACAAAAAGCAATTAAAAACCAAAAACTTAAATGGTTCTTGTGATTTGTGCGCATTGATTCATAGCACAGTGAGTCCGCAGCCCCAGATGGTGACACACAAGAGAAGAGTGTCACTCACACCTGCACAGAATATGGCTCCTGATTAAGGGCAGGCAGGAAATGCTACTTCCTCAGCAGAGTGGAGAGGATGGGGAACAGGGGGACAGTAAATCTGAAAAACATCACACCAGCTTTATAGTCCATGGGATTCCCCTGCCCAGCATCCTTTCTTTCCATGGCTAGACATCACATGGGGTACTTCCACTGACTTATTCCTCTTATACCACACCGCTCTTTACTTCAAAACTGCATCCATTAAGTCCTGGTTAAAGATCAATTTTTTTGCCTTCAATGAATAAAAGGAAATTTCACTAGAATGGGTGAAGAGTCTAATACATACAGACCTTGGCCTGTATTAAATAGAATGAGTTGAGTTATTAAGTAACTTCCCTGTAAAAGTGACAGTATATTCTATATACTGCACTTCTTTGGAAATACAGAAGTGGTGCTCCTGTGAAGAAACCTGATGCTCTTCAGCTCCTAGCAGCTTAGGATGCAGACTTTTCAAACATCAATGTTATTAAAAATATTTCTAAACTGCTTCAGAATTTTTTGAAGCTGCCTAATATTCTATCTAACATATGAAACTACATCTAGAACAAAAATGTCCAAGGATTATTGCTTTCAGGCAGAAAACTATGACAAATATAACAAAATAATTGAGCAATAAAGTGACAGATGCTTAAGAAAAGCATTTACTCTTTGAGGGTGAACTGCATGACACTAAAAGCCAAATGATTGGTTTGAATTTGTTCATGCATATGTTTCTGATTGAAATTTAAGTTATGCCAGTCATGCTTTGATCTTTCTACTGGAATTCTCCCCTGAGACTATCTACTTACTGGCCTTGACGTTGGATCCCTCACATAAATAGTTCGTTCAGTTTTACGTACTGGTTGATTCTTGATATCTAGCCCATCTCCATGCAGATTCTCTTTCCTTTTTGATTTTATACATCCCATATTTCCTGTTGGAAAAAAAAGGTATTAAACAAAAACATTATACCATGAACCAAGCAGTTTCCCATGCAATCATTTGGCTTATGTAACAAAAACTTACTTCCTTTTCATCTACGACAGCTCACAAGGACAACATCCGCATGTTAGGAGCACCAGCTACAAGTTTTTTTCCCTACTGCAAAGGAAGAGGTGACTTCTTGTCTCAATCTACAGATGAATTAAATGCTACAAAATAATTATATCCCAGCCAAATGCTTCTAGATTTATCACGTTTTCTCCTCAGAAAAAAAACAGGCAACCCTTACATCCTGCTGATATTTCTGTGAGTTTCAGCTCAAATATAACCAAGCCACCTGACAAATGACCATTTTGATAACACCTTTCAGTATGTCTTAGGCTCCTTTCCAAGGTATCACACAGGAAATGTTCCAGAGACTCCGGTGTAATGGCTTTTTAGGGAACTTCCACTCAAAATTTCCAGTCCAAAAAGTGGGAATTGTGTTTGGAAGTGTCCATGCCTGCAGAGACACCCTTTGGTTTGTATACACCAGTCTAAGAGGGAGCTCAGCTTGACACAGACCCCTGCCTCACACGATGACCGGTGCAGCCCCAGCTCCCTGGGAGATGCTGCTACCAGGGCCTTCAGCCGAGGATCTCCCTTCTTCAGACAGGCCTCCACGATCAGTGGAGGTATCAGTGAGGACAAATCACCACATAAGGGTTTCTCCTGCAATACACTCTAGAAAGATAATCCTACTCTCTGCATGTTCACCCATGCCTAACCAGCTGAGATACTGCTGCTAGCATCTACATGACTGGAACCCGACTGCTAATCCCATCATGTAATTACACAGTCCTGGAGAAGCATATACACTACGTCATTGCTATATTCCTCCCTTGCAGGATAATAATTACAGACACTCTGCAGAGAATCTGCTATGAGTGCTTTTCAAACCCCTTCCTCCTTCATCTCTCCCTCCTTTCAGGTCAGTGCTCTCAATGCTGGTGTTTTCTCCTGCAGACACATGCTCTCACTCCCCCCGTCCTAGTTAATCTTTAAAGCAAATTCTTTGAAAAACAGTTTATAACCTAGAATAAACACTCGGTACACACACAGGCACAAGGAAAACAGCCAGACAAACAAAAGCACATTGCTATGCCCTACTCTGCATCGTTCATTTACCATGATAATAAAAAGACCATCACAGTAATCAATGAACACAGTATGTATGAACTTTTGCAGGCACAAATGTTTCAGTGGCAAGTTGCCTTACACATTATATTCCTGTAGAAAGGAGAAGTCCAGGTCCACATTAAGACTTGTATTTTTACAACAATATCACTAAAATTGTCACATAGGACTGCTGCATCTAGGTCTTGTTTTGTTGTTACAGTAATGTTTGCTAGTTTTATAATCATTAATTTTTACCTGCCACCTTCATTTAATATCTGATACTGCTATTGAGGAAGCACCACTTAATGACAGGAGCTTTGTCCTATACAGGAGCTGAACTTCTCCTAAACTCTGCTGCCTCCTCTCATTTCTGCAAATTATCTGTCACCCATTGCCAATAAATCTTGGGTGTCCAGAAAATGGATTCAACGTCATGAGAATTCACTGTTTCCTTTTCTTCCTCCTAATGAATTAAAGAAAGAAAGAAATCACACAAAAAAATCAAAAGCTATCACATTGCACATCTGCATTTTAAATGCAGAAAAAGAATACAGTTTCCTATTTATTTTCTATATTAATATGTCAACATTTTCACCTAGACAGTGAAGACATGGAGCGGATCTTCAACCAGGACCTTCTCTTAAGAGCAAAAATCCCTACTCCTTGATTTGCACTAGACAGCTGGGAGCTCAGTATCTATCCACCTGCTCTAACTGCAGAACAAAGTATTCAGCCATCTAAGTGCTAATGTTTTTGCTCTTGCATAATCCTGCTTCTACAGAGCAAAAGCTAAAGTTAAGGACATAATGTAATTTGATCCAAATTGTGAGACAAAAATCCCTTAGCCTATTGCTGTAAGAAATCCTGAGGATATTTTTACAGACTGCAACTTGCCCATTGCAATAAAATTGTTCTTACACAGATTTTTTTTTCCATTTAAAGAATATTAACAGCTTTAATTTAAGTCTGGGTGCGATTCTGCTGGTATCATCAAGGTTAATATTTGTGACAATAGTGTCAGCACATCAGGAACCACCTAGTCCCTCAACAGGATTCTTGCATGTGATATTACACAGATAAAATGTGTGAAATGCAGCACATGTGATGGAAGAAAAAAAAGAGACGATCCCAAGTCTCATCACAAAGTACCCTCTGCTCCCATGCACATGAAAACCCTTAGTCCTCAGGGAACTGATGATATTTCTACATTAGCCGATAGCAATTAGCAAATAGCCCAAGAGCAGCAAATTTATAGAGTGAAAAAGCTGATGCTGCTTCTAAGGGCCTTATTGCATGTTCGTTCCAGCAGGGCCCCAAGGCTGAATATGCAGCAGTGCCAAGAGCACTGTAAGTAAGTGCACTCCTGCACTGGGACTTCCGAAAGGGATCCAGTTCTTGCTCTCCAAGCCCACTCCATACTGTGAACGAAAGCTTAACAGTTGAAAAAATATGTTAAACACTAGAAAGTGGATCAGTAAGCACATGCTCTTTTGACGCAGTGAAATTAAAGACTTTTTTTGCACTCTTCAACAGCTACTAGCATTTATAGAAATTTAAGAGTCTGTTTTGTAAAACTGTGTGCACTGGCTTCCAGACTTTACATTTAGATTTCTGCCAGTCAGTCCAGCCCTATACCCAGGACAAACTTACCTGTCTGCATTTCAGCAGCACCACACACCTAATTCATCCCAGCTGCAGTGCCAGGTGCACTGGGTTCCACGGCTACGTTACATATTTTATAGTTAAACGCCCTGCAGTTCCTGGCATGGGTTTTGAAGAGCAGTATCCAAGTAAAGCTTGGGAGGGTCAGTATCAACTGCAGGCACTGACAGGGGCTTCTCAATCACCACGCATTAAATAATGGATTTCACAGTGATGGACTTCAAAATACAAAATGCTACACAACCACCAAAGTTAACTTCATTGACATCAAACCCTAGCAAACATATAACCCTAGCATCCCCCCTCTCCAAACACATAAAAAGTGCAAGCATCTTAGCTTTTAGAGCACTTGTAAAGGAAAATCTTAAGGGGGGAAGTTCCTTCACGCATAAACAAAATATTCTGTGTTTATTTGCATAGCTCTCTGCTGCCTTATCATAGTGAACATCAAGGAAGTGCTTTGTGCACATACAAAAAGAAAGAATACAGCAAACTAAAAGCTATCCCGAGAGCGTGGTCATCTTACATATGGAATTATGTTATTGTTCTTCGGAGATAAAAATAATTTAGACATCAAAGGAAATGCTGCCAGTCCCTATGCAGACATTACCCATTCTAACATTTCTATGATAGAGAAGATACTATTTTTATCCACACTTTTCATTTACTCTTCTTATCCATAGGTCTAGACATGAAAGCCAAATATTTATTTAAAAGAAACTATAGAACATAGTAGCTAACTTTTATAAACACATCTAAAAAAAGCAACACATCATTTCTGAATAAAAAGCTTCATACAATATGTATGGCTAAAATATAAAATGTAAGGATACATACCTTTATTAATGTCTACATTGTGCTAACAAAAGCCTGACTTTAAGCATTTTTTAAAAACTACAGAATTATCCACATGAATTATCATAATAAGCCTCTTTAAATAGGTTGTCGTATAGACAACTTTGATGTTTACAGAGAAATTAAATTTTCTACTTGAATCCCCTATTATTTGACCTTTTTCCCCTCTGCTATAGCAGCACTTGACCTTGACTTCAAAATAGAGTAAGAGGGGAGAAACTGGTGCACCCTGCTTTTTTCAAAGTTAAAGCTGCTGTTTATCCAAGACATCCTGTTGCTTTACACACCTGTTGCTCTAGTATTAGTAATTTACCTCAGACTTCATGCTTGCTGCTTCAAACAGTCCAAGATCTTATGATCATTGACAGTCCATCCACCATGAATAGCATCTGAGGTCTCATTTCCTCCAGTGCTTATCTTGGGTTTTGCTAAAACTGAGAGCATTCTTCATTCTGCTCATGGTCACAGCTACAGGCATCCTTATGAGTCTATTTTAGGGAATATTTGTGGTTAAAAATTGTCTCCTAAAACAGCCTGAGGTCTTGTGTTCATAGAAATGCTTCACAAATTCTCACGGATTTTTTCAATGGTTTAGAGCAGCTTTATAGATCCTTATAGAAAATGTTATTTATTGCAATTAAAAATGATTATTTAGTGGCTTGTTTTTAAAATCAGCTAAAATAGATTATACACTGGCATTTCCAATAACAATATCTTTAAGGAATTAGAACTATCATATTGTGTATATACACAATGTTACCCTATTCAATAAACATGTATTATTCAAAAGGACAGTGTAATGAACACCAGTGCTATGGGTGGAGTAGGCTTTTAACAGATATACACATATTTATTTTAGCATAATGCATAATACTTCATATTCAGTTAGAAAGTTTGAGCATTAAACTCATTTAGCCCATAGAATTTTCATTTTATCGTTTGCCTGCCGCATGACACCTGTGAAATATCATTAAGCAAACAAAGGAAAATTGTTTCTTAGCCACGCAAGTATCACAGAGTAAAGATGTGCTTAAAAATGAAAGGGAAAATCAGGAACCCAAACTATTCTGGGCTATTGGGCTGCGCTCTGTGCTGGAGCTCCCAAGGCAGGAGGCAGCCACCTCCAGGGCACCATGGCGCTGCTTCCAACACACACTGTTCTTAAAACTGGAACTTCCAAGCAGCTTGGGGAGCAGAGGAGTAGGCCATTTTATTTGTAACACCTCTTTCAAAAGTTGAAAAGAACATCTCCCTCCTCTGTTTTAAACTTTTCCCACTTCCATTCTTTTTTAATCTTAGGGCCAGCAGATTTGCTGTTTCTTCACATCATGATGTTTCCAACTGATGCCCCAAATCACACTCTAAGTCTTCTCTGCTTCCCTGAAGCTCAAGGGAAAAATACCAGGAGGAAGAGGGGGGGTGAGGGAGGAAGATGCTGGGAGG